GTAGACTCTGTGTTTAATATTTTGGTTCATTTGCTGGTCTTATGACTGTTCTTAATAAACTTACTTACTTACTACTTACTTACTAATACCCCTACATAAATCAATGGTGCAACCTCATTTGGAATACTGTGGAATACCACACCTAAAAAAGGATATTATAGCTTTGGATAAAGTGCAGAAAAGGGCAACTCGAATGATAAAAGGGTTGGAACACTTTCCCTATGAGGAAAGGTTAAAGCCCTTAGGGCTCTTAAGCTTGGAGAAACGACGACTGAGGGGTGACATGATTGAGGTTTATAAGATTATGCATGGGATAGAGCAGGCAGAGAAAGAGGTACTTTTCTCCCTTTCTCACAATACAAGAACTCGTGGGCACTCAATGAAATTGCTGAGCGGTCGGGTTAGAACGGATAAAAGGAAGTACTTCTTCACCCAAAGAGTGATTAATACATGGAATTCACTGCCACAGGAAGTGGTGGCGGCTACAAGCATGGACGGCTTCAAAAGAGAATTAGATAAGCATATGGAGCAGAGGTCCATCAGTGGCTATTAGCCACAAGGTCTCTGGGGCAAGTGATGCTCTGTCTTCTTGGTGCTTGGGGGGGTCAACAGTGGGAGGGCTTCTAATGTCCTGGCCCCACTGGTGGACCTCCTGATGACACCTGGTATTTCTGGCCACTGTGTGACAGAGTGTTGGACTGGATGGGCCTTTGGCCTGATTGAACATTGGCATCTCTTATGTTCTTATGTTCTTAAGTGTTTTCCATTGTTTCCAATGGGCAATCCTATCCTTCCTATAGTACATCCCCACAAGGGTTAGCCTTGGAACCGGCACCTAAATCCTATACCTACAAATTTTGAAAGGAATGCCCCTGAGCTTCTGCAGAATTTGCCCCAAAGCAAAGCTATTTTAAAGATCATCACAGGGGAAATAAGAGTCTGAGGGATTTTTAAGCGCATCAACCCTTTAAACCAACGAAATCTCTATCCTGCCTGCAGAAATCCTGGATGGCTTTTTGCATCTCTCAGAGCTGCTGCAATGCTCAGAATACTCTCCTAGGAGCAAGCCCAGTGGGAATCTGAATGCAAGAAGTTTGCTAGATGCTGAATGCAAGAAGCACGTATATTCAGAACACTTATCAGAATCCACTATATAGTTCTGCCATTATCATATCACCATTGAGGGCTCTTTTGTGCTTTCTTCCACCAGCAAGAAGTTTTGTAATACAGGCTCTATGGTCCTCACACAGAGAGCAAGACACCAAAGTGTCAGACTTAGCCTTGCAAATAGCACACATAAGAGTGGGAGAGAAGGTGCGTGGTAGCCAGGGAGAGAGAAGCCGCTTCGGTTTAAGAGCCAAAGAAATCTGCCTCCAAAAAAACCACCCACAACTGCAGTCTGAACGCTTTTGCAAGGCTGGTTTACAGCTCAAACCCACCCCCGGGAAAAGAGGGAATCAAACCCAGACCTACAGCAATCGGCTGTTTCCACCGCTTTGGTGCAAGAAGACTCCAGAGCATTCTACACAAGAGCAAGAGATCGGCGCTTGCGGGGGGAGAAAGGAACCTCCACTTTGTGCAGCTTGAATGACAACTAGCTGCACCTTCTCAGAGTGAGAGGAGTGAAATTAATCTTGCAAATTACGGCTGTGCCCCCACTTGAAGCCAACAGAAGAGAGCACTTGCACAGTAGGGGAACTCCTTCAAAGCCCCAGGAAAAGGGTTGGGACAGCAGTTCAGCTTACCAGCTCAGCCAATGGGTTAATTGGAGAATTTTTTCTCTCTCTCAGCCAAACCTGTCTTACAGGGTGGTTGAGAGCTGGTGAGACGCAAGGACTCAAGGGCTGGAACGGGAGCGGTCATCTGGCACGTGCTTGCTTCCCTTGCTGATCTTCTCCAGGTGCCCCGCAACCGCGCAGCAGATGCCCACACCCACCTCGCACCAGCGCACACTAGAGGGAACTGACACTCTAGCCCTTGTCTCTATGGTTTTCAGAGCCATAGAGACTTGGAGGACTTAAATCCTAGAGCATCATTTTCTGGCCGCCATTTTTTCCCCCTGGGGCCCAATTTTTAAAAAGTGGGTAGAGGGGGTTTAAAGCGATAGTTTGCTGGCCCCCAGCGGGGGGCTTGGCAAGCCTAATGTGAAGCACAGTTCTTCTAGTTAATTAATCCAAAATAAAATTCTTACTGTATTGTTAGTTTATTCATCTAGTCAATTGTTAGTTTATTCATCCAGTCAATTAACCAGATTATTTTTAATACAATTTAGCCAACTTGTATTGACAAGCAGCTTAATTACAAGGAGTATACAAAGAAACTTCATTCAAATCCCAGTAGATTCATTGATTAAAAATGTTGTCCAGATTCAATACCACAATGGCATGCTTTTAGATTAGTTAATCAGAGAGATTTCAACAGAGAAACACATTTTAACCTGTATTTCCCCCACCCAACTAATTGGTATGAAAATCTCAGGCAAGGTACCCCTCACCCAGGGATCCTACCTCCCATATTTCTGAAAGGTAGGGGAAAGGATCCATGTTTTCTTGGTCATTAGAATTATATACAAAGCAGGCACATATGGGCATGCTGATGCCACCATTGGGACCCTAAAAAGGGGGGGGAGTACTAACCCACTCATACATTAATACAAATACTGTGCTACAGTTATTAATCTCAGAAGTGAGTTTAAACCAGCTGTGACAGGCTAACCAGAAACAAATTACTTGGCAGGGCATGAGAGGCCCTTGGGCCCAGCAGCAACAATCACCTGGACGGAGCAGGGTGGGACCAGGGGCAGAAAGGTACATTAAGGATAGCTGCAGCAACAAGGCAGCCTTGGCAGTCAGGCCCAGGGAAGCTCAAAGGGTGTGGAGGCAGTGAGCAAGACTGGGTTGGAGAACAATGACTCTCTGGGTCCAGCTGTTTTTAGGTAGCGCAAGGAACAGAGGAGGACAGGGCTTAGCTCAAGGGCCATGTGTGAAGCTGAAGCTGTAAAAAGGGAGGAAGGGGAAGTGAGTGGAGGCTGGCAAGAAAAAAAGGGAGAAGTTGAAGGCAGGTTGCAGCATCGTAGCTCTTATCCTATGTAATGCAGTGCAACCCTGGGGTGGGTGAAGTGAACCACACCTTCAGGTGCCTGGATTGGTAAATAAAACAGCCTGTGTAAGGAATCCATGATTGGGCTTCTGATTTCAAGACCTCCATGGACTCCAAGTCTCAGCATTATTGATTGTGAAAACGAAATCAAATTATGACATTCCAGATGAATTAATATGGCAAAATCAAAAAGAAAGCATGAGGGAGGAGAGCCACAAGAGTTGTGCATGAGTCCTGTGCCGCCGCCACCCTGGCTGAGTTTTAATACAGTTGGGGTTGGGGTGGAGCAGGACTGCAGGGTAGGACAGCTTCCTCTTCCCCAGACTGGAACCTGATAAAAAGGCACCACCAGCTGAGAGAGGGGAAGGACTACTACTGGCTGTCAGCTCAGTAAAGACAGAAACAGATATGGTTCTCAAGGAACAGATAGGCCCCAGAGACCAAGAGAACCAGGCAGCTGACAGCAAGAACAGGCAGAACTCCTCCCTGGTGAGGCAGGGCCAGCAGATGGGTGCCAAACCTAGAGAAAGGACTGCAGAGGCAAATTAAAGGGACAGCACTCTTTAGCTGTGTGAGTGTAAGGAACAGTAAATAAAGGGTTCATGGCAAAGGATGGTGAGGGTGGGCAAAAATGGGACACTGTAACAGGTGCCCCTACCACGAGGCACTACTGAGCACAAATGTGACACAGAGATACGTATATCCTCATAGAGTACATAAATGAATAAGAATGTATGTTTTTACCACAGTTTCCTCCTTCATTCTCTTGTTAGGTTGTTTTTTTGAAAAGCATGTAGCTTCTCCATTAATTTTTGTCAGTGCATCCCAATGGTATTCCAGGTACAAGCTTTCCATATAAAAGAAAAACTATGAACACTCACTGTGTCCCCATTCACTACTACTGAAAAGTCCTATTTGCATTCTTAGAGATACTGGTCCCGGTCACACGGAAGGTTTTGGCCCGGGAGAGGGATGGATCGGAGGCGCAGCAAACGGGCATGATCTCACCGCAACATCTGGGAAGTGGCGCGCACCCGTCCCCGATCCGTCCCTAAAGCCAGAAAACCTGCTGCAAAAAAGAACCACCTACAGAGGAGGACTTACCTGGAACGCCGCATCAAGCGCGGTCGTGGGATTGCCGGCGCGCCCGTCGTCCAGAGCAATCCAGGCTCCTGGCCGAACTGCGCATGGGGAGGAAGTGCGCGGCGGCTCAGGGGATCTATGTGATCCCGCCGCCACGTGTCTCTTTTGGTGTGGCTTTCAAAAGCCACACTTTGCCCATGCTCTCCCCCCCCATGTGGCAGGGGCCTATGACTCTAAACTATGGTCTGGCTAGAGCCACAGCAGCAACAGCCAGGCTTACTTTACATTTAGGTTCCTGATGTCTCTCTTCACTAACAACAGTTAAAAAAATGTTTAAAAAACCTCTTTATTTCTTGTAAATATGGAGGGGGATTCATGCTTTCTTTTTACTATTTTGTATGTTTAGGACTAGTATTTCAAATTTAGTAGTATCAAATTTCATCTACTGAATTAACAGTTCTGTTTATTAATAAACTTCTCAGCTAGGCTCAAATTCACTTACAGTTAATAACTAAGACAATTTCCTACTACGATAAATAAGAGGGCAAAAGAAATCATAACATGAATTACAATATCTTGCATAAGCATTATTAGAAAGATGACAAACTATAAAAATTTACAAATCACTTGAGTATAAAATGCAGTAACTAGAAAATATCACCATAAAAGTAAAAAAAAATTAGCAAACCTTACTTCTGGTAGAGGACTGGCTGGTTTGGTAAGGATTCCTCCCACATATACAACATTTGGTAGCGTGGGTCTTGGAAACTCTAATGCTACATCAGTACACAGCATCCACAGGCTGGATCCATGCACCAGTTCATACATGGACCTTTCTGGCTGTACATTGTACTTCTGCATTATCCTTTCATATTTTGGCAGAACCAAAAAACTGACTCCAAATCTTGAAACCAGATAAACAAGAGTGTTCTTGATCCTCTCTAGCAAATTCATGTGATCTGTGAGAAGTGAATTAAATTCTGGAACGTATGCTAAAGGTGCTGGAGCACCAACTTCTGCTGGATACCAAAGGCCAGTGGAAAAAACAGCATATTTAACCCTTAATAGATGAGCAATAACAAATCCACACATCTCATTAGGATCCACTAGCAGCAGGTCAAATTTTTCCTGTTTCATGGTTTGGAGGAGCTTCTTGTTGCCCACAATCATGTCACAGTTCTTGGTATAGTGATCCAGTATGTCAAACAGTTCCAGAATGGTATGTCTCCCAGAAAAGATATTTCTCATTTTGGATTGAAGAAACTCATCTGAGGTGGTGCTATTAAAGAGCCCCGGGTAATGGAGCAGTCTATAGTGATTAGACGGAGGGATTTTTCTGCCCTCAGACAGAAGGAAAACTGTCTGGTGGCCTTGCTCATGCAAGGCAGAGGCCACGGTCTTGAAAATATACAGATGGCTTTCAAACATAACTGTGGGCACAACAACGATTTTGGCAGTCCTTGCAATCCCAACAGCATTCCACAGAAGAATGAAAACTGGAATGTAAGACTTCATAGCTGAAATGACAAAAAAAAAATATTACTTTGATACAGCCCACATATCGAGACTACAGCCCCCTCCACAATAACAGTGTAAACTAGGGTTGCCAAACCCCCAGGTTTGGCAGGGCCTTCCTGCTTTTTGGAAGCGTCTACCTGCCTCCAAGCCCCAACACCTGCCGCCACCCCTCTCCCTTCTCTCTTGAGACAGAAGAGGGAGGGGGTGGCTGCGGGCCAGCCGATTGGGCACGCGGAAATGCCAGCTCCCTGCAGTTAAAGGGGCAGCTTTAACTGCAGGGAGCCGGCGCCCCTGTTGGACGAGCGGGGGGGACATCCCCAACATGATGTCATCACATTCGGGATGCCCCGCCCCCTTCCAGGAATGCCCCCCAAAGTCCCCCGCTGGGAGTGAAGATAGACCTTGGCAACCTTAGTGTAAACACCAGCATCATGCAATTCAAGGTATTTTATTGCCAGCCCAGCAACTAGAAGATGCTTGTTTCATTCAGCTAATGACGTGCCCTGACCTGGATAGGCTAGGCTAGCCCAATCTCTTCAGATTTCACAAGCTAAGCAGGGTCAGTCCTGGCTAGTATTTGGATGGGATACCACCAAAGAAGTCCAGGGTTGCTACATAGATCTGGGCAATGGCAAATCACCTCTGAATATCTCTTGCCTTGAAAACCCTATGGGGCCACCATAAGCTGGCTGCAACGCACACACATGCTCACACAGAGTTACATATAGATTTCTCCCTTTCTCTTTCTCCTGTCTGACCACAGGAGAACACTAATTAATCACTGCAATACTGATAAACCTTGTTTTGTATATGAAGGGAAATTGATAAGGACAATGAAGTTTTATCCTGCTCATGATTCCATATACTGTAACTCTTATTCTACTACAGTCAATAGTCAAGGTCCCAGTTATGCAATGAGCAGAATCAACTGGCAATGATTTTACTGCAGTGTAGCACTTCAGCCTACAGAAGTGAGGTTAGATGTTTTAACGCACCGCCATGGGGAGGAAATCACTGCATATAAAAAAGAATGTAAGGAAAAGAGAAGGCTGAACGATTCCTGAACAATTAATAGATGTTTCAGCCTTGTTGCTGAAGGAGAAGATAAAATGGTCAAATCAACAGCAATTATTAATTTTGCTTGCAAATAATAACAGAGATCATTAAAAAGTTATCAGTGTTTCAAGGCAACCAAAGCCAATTTAGCTATATATTTCTTGATGATAATTTTAAAGTGGATACAAGCCATCTGCTCCATGGTGTTCAATGCTCTGCTCCAGCTTATTTCATATATCTTTACAAAATTATTTTATATTTATGCTCCACAGGTAACACATATAAATTTGATTTGTTCAAAAAATTAAAATGTCTTGTGAAATGCTATAATTTAATATGTATTCCATATTCTGAGTACCTTTGAACCAAAAGAGAGAAGGTGTGTCCCTTTCAAAGAAAAAACCCCAATGCTCATTGAAAACGTAAATGGGAGTTGAAGTTGTATGGAATTGAAACCACCACTGTTATTAGCCAAAACACTTAAACTGCAGTTAGGATTATATGTACAGACAGATGCTTAGAGTAGTGTAAATACTGTGTCAGTTTGCATAATGGAGTGTGAAAGGAAAAGTTAAACTTTAAACTTATTTTAACAACCTCACAGAACAACTGAAGGGTTGGTACATAATAAACCTTAACCAGCTGTTAAAAGAAACTGAAAAGAAACATAAACTTTAGATTTTTTAAAAAAATCATTATGCTGACTCTTGAATAATTACAGAAACTTTCCCTGCTCTGTGAACAAAGCTACAAATTGCTTGCATGCATATGGTTGCCAATCCCTGGATATTTGGGGGTGGAGCCTGGGGAGGGACCTAAGTAGGGTATAATGCCATAGAGTCCACCCTCCAAAGCAGCCATTGTCTCCATGATCTCTATTGTTTGGAGATCAGATGTAACTCCAGGAGATCTCCAGACCCTACCTTGTTGTTGTTGTTGTTCAGTCGCACAGTCGAGTCCGACTCTTCGCGACCCCATGGACCATCTCCCGCCAGGAGATGGACCCTACCTAGAGGCTGTTAAATTCACTTCTCTTTTACTTGAGCAAGATATAAAGCCATGACTAAAAAAGGTCCTTCAAATCAATCAGATGTAACTCCAGGAGATCTCCAGACCCTACCTAGAGGCTAACAATCCTATACAAGTATAAAATCACTAAGAATACAACTAGAATACAACTAGAATACAATATATTCTTATAAGTTTTGTATATGGTCATTCTTAGAGCCAGAGATGCAAAAGTAACAGTGATACATTTTTTTACCTACATCATGGATTACTCTATTGCAAACATGCAGTCTCTTCTTAGATGGGATCTACTCTTTTGACTGTGACCAAATTATAAGAAGGTCTACATTTAGAAACGGCAATTCTGCGCCAAAAAGTTCCATAGATTTGCTAGTACAGTTTTCACCCACCAGCCATGTTATCTGCCACCTCAGATCATAATTTTTACCTTTTAAAAGCTGGGATTTCACAACTGTACACTCACATATATATGCACAGAGCAATATGCAAATATACAAAACAGGGAGTGTCTGGTTAACTGACCTAGCTGAACAGACAACACAGAAGAGAGAAGGGAAGGGAGAAAGACCCAGCCAACAATCAGCCACTATAATGCCCACATTCAGGCAAAGTTATTAATGTGGCAAAACATAAAAACAGAAAGAACAGTGTTAGTAGTATTGATATTACCTTATGTCTTCCTTTTCTCTGTTAAATTCACTTCTCTTTTACTTGAGCAAGATATAAAGCCATGACTAAAAAAGGTCCTTCAAATCAATCAGAAGCACTTCACTGCCAGCAGAATAGTCCTTTTCTTTCATAGAAATTTTACGCTATTTGTTTCACTGTGAAATATAGCAAAGCAGGACAAGGAATCTCAGCACTGCTTAATCAATGGGACTTTTACCTACATTCACATTTTAATTAGTTGGACATTAATTAGAAATTCTAACTTTCTAACTGCTAATGAATAAAGTAAAACAGTAAAATCGTGTAAAACAGTGAAGAGAACATCTTCAAAGTAAACTGACCCATCAGAGACAATGAGACATATTAGGTACTATCCCTCCAATACACACCCCTTTTACTCTTTTTACTTTCTTTTCTGCTTGTCTTAAGCTTTACATATCTCCTGAAAGAACCTGTTCAAAGAAATCTGATGATAATTTAGTTGACTCTTGTATGGGTCAACAGGCTAATTCCCTGTTTGTGTTGGAATTTCAGTTAGAATGTGGAGGTTTGAAATCAGGAAAGCCCTATCTAGACAGTTCCAGCCAATAAGCTTCAGTTAAGCAACTACATTGAAGAAAGGGAAACCTTAGTCACACTTGTTACTTAGGATGTTTTAGGATCTGTATTCTATAAAGAAGGAGTTTTAAATTCCTCTGCATAAATATTGTTGTTTATCTGCAAAATGTACTTTAAAAGGCAAAAAAAATTGCCTTTCAGAGGATCAGTTTCATTTACACACAACTCTTCATCAGGAAGTATGTAATGGTCATTGATTTGTGGCTACACTGAAACACATATCAACTATAGATTCAGTATATATTAGATATAGAAGCCTAGTAATTTTAAAATGCAAGACAACAACTGAGCAAAAGCAGATTACAGCCTTTTTTGTCCCAGGAGCCCAAGACCTTCACTCCACCCATCATTTTATCTTCAACCCTAATGACCCTTTACTTTTCTGCACAAATGAATTTTTGTTCTTCTAAAATTGTTATAACATTTGGGACAAGTGATGGGGAAATTAGATGAATAGTAGTTGTTTGGGAACTGATATTTTGTGGGGGTTGCTAACTCCAGGTTGGCAGATTCCTGATGATTTTGAGGTGAAGCCTCAGAATTGTGGGATTTAAGGAGCAGAGGAACCTCGGTAAGATATATTGCCATAGAGTCCACCCTCCAAGGCAGCCTTTTTCTCCAGTGAAACTGATCTCTGTAGTCTGGAGGTCAACTGCATTTTCAGAAGATCTTCAAGTCCCATCTGGAGACTTGCAACTTTATGAGGGTGAACAAAAATATTTAAATTTGCTGTACACTCTGTTCTGTGTATAGCAGAATACTTTTTCCATTGTCACTCCTGCAGAATTCTGTGCAGTTTAATTAAGATTTCACAGGAAAGCTGTGTTGTTGTTTTAAATACAGTCCCTGATCCCATGCAAAATATATAAAAGAATTACATATGGGGTTCAGTTCAACAGAGTTGCTATGTTTCATGTCCCTCAGCAATCTCTTCCAGCTCCCAGAAAAGTTGATTCCTGGGACCTGTGTGGACCCTGCAGCTATAAGGGGTTGAGGGCTGCAATGAGGAGGGAGAAAGATGTGAAACTACCCACTTGATTTTGCACTCTTACCCATCCTCACTGGTACCCCATCCCCTGTTCAGACTATACCAGTGACTTTGGAAATCAACTTTCTAGAAGCTGGAAGGCACTACTGTAGAATGGGAAATGTGGCAAAAATCTACATAAATCAGGGTCTTCCATTAACAGATCACTGTATCCGACCCATATTTTTTTACAAATTATATTAGATGTTATTATAAAACTTCATCTTACTTTAATAATGCTGGGATTCAATTGATTTCAAGAGATTTATGAAAGAAACAAAATATGAAAATACAATGGTGAAGTCCAAAGTTGGAAATTACAGTTCCTGCTCCAGAAATGTTCTTTGATATTTTGCTATGTGATGTTTTTCTTCTTCATTATCTACTATAAACACTAAATTAAATATATAAGATATAAAATAGCTTTAAACAGAAGAAAGATTTCCATTTCCATTGATCTGATTTTGATAGAATAAAATCACCACAGAAACAGCTGGGGAGATTACATTACTGGGTAATGTTTATAGCAGTCGATGAATCTATTTTATAACATTCCCAACCAGGAACACTTTCCACACAAAGCATAAATCTTCATCACACA